GCTCATTTCAGCTTTGGTTTCAAGAGACCACTGAGGAGATGAAGATGCTGTGTCCAGCCAGCACTCTTCCTCCTCTTCTGGGACGCGCATTCCCAGAGCCTCCCATTTCCATCACTTTCCTTGCAGTGGCTTTTGCTTCTCTGACCCTCAGTGAGCCCACTCAATTCTCTGTTCAACCTGGCAGAAAACTAAGTCAACAAACATATCTAACCAAAAAAGCCTGGCCACGTTCTGCTTCCTTAGTGAGCTGAATGAGCTCAGGGAAAGGTCTGAGGAGCACCAGGGCAGGGACTGCACAGTTGGCATCACAGGAGGAAGACCTCCTCCAGACTGCAGCAAGCTGTGGCACTGGCATAGCTCCAGGTGACACTGCAAGGCTTGGAGAAAGGAGATGTCTAGGAGAAGGATAAGAAGCATGAGATTTATGAAACTGCCTCTAGGAAGCAGCAAAGCAAAAGTACGTGGAAGGAGAAGACTATCCTGTACAAAACAACGTCTCTAAAGCACTGTTGACTTGGGTGTGATTGTTTTCAGACCTTTTCACCATGCTGAACTTCAAATGGACCAACCCAACCTGCAGTACACCACTGGTGACATGCAGCGGGTGGGCTGGGGATAAGGGATAAGGAAGAGGCTTTTTAAGACAATTAATGCAATGAGACAGTTCTGCTCTTGGAGAGACAAGGTTACAATTTTTCCATTAATCCTCCCTCAGAGTTGCTTTTCTCAGACCTAAAGGCCTGAGCCCTAAAGGCCAACTTCAGGTAACATCTAGAAGTCTGCAGCAAGCAGCAGTCTCTCTCAGACTGATCACTCAAATAGGAACCAGGACTCCTTGCCTACAGACTAAGCTCTGTCACTGTTCCTCTGCAACATCAGCCCATGCTCTTAACTAGTTTTTCATGCAACAAAACTTAAAAATTACCTTTTCCCCAGCGATGCTGAGGAATAATCTGTCCCACTTTGCAAGTTTACACTGAAGTGCTGAATCATAAAATGAAAATTAAAAAAAGCTATTGAGAAATCCCCACTTCAATTTAAGTTTTCAACTTAACTTCTTCCTGACATGTTGAATTAGAGAGAACAAAACCTGAATGTTGTAACATCCCCCCAAGGTAGAGCCTCCTGTTTACTCTGACGGAGGCCATGGCACCACTGTCCACAGACACTGATTTATTTCAACCTTAAAGGTCACTGTCACCTGTTACTTTTCTCTGCCATTGCATCATGTCTGTGGAGGTCAATGAAACATGAGGGCTTCTCTTCAGTTATGGTCCCTGAAAGTACAGGGCAAAACTGATCAGCCTCCTGTAACAGCAAGCAACCTGGAAGGACATTGACTCAACTGGACTTGCAGCTGGATCCGCAAGTGTGCCAAAAGCACAGCCTGCTCCGTCTCCAGAGGAAATCACCTGGCTGAAGCTCCTTGGGGGTAGGAAAGAGGGAGAACTTTGACCTACAATTCTCTGCTTACGCTATAAATATCTCACGTCAGCAATCAAAGCTGAGATGCCTGCTCTAAAACTAGCACAAGTATTTAAAATGGACGACAGATCTGCTTCTGAATAGGCCTTTCTTTATAAGGTTTAGCGGCTGCTCAGATCATTTCCCAGGTCTTTTGCTCTGTGGAAGGCCCTCCAACTCCGTAATTTCTTTTTCCATAGCTTTGGTCTTTTACACACTGAAAGAAACTTCTCTTTTAAAAATACCTCCTTATTTGGGCAAAACGAGCAGAAAGAATTGTTTCCTGACTCAGTACAGTGGATACACAAAGACATTTTTCCTTAGACATACGTGATCATTGCTCTAAAATTAGTGACAGAGAAACACACCCTAGGGTCAGCTTACTGGGAGCGCTACTGTAAAAAAAGCATTCGGATCGTGGCCCATTAGTTTCTAATACTCTACAAAACCCTGCACAAAAAGCGGATGCAGGCTTCCACTTTGCTACAACTTAAAAACTCTGCTCCGGACAAAGTGCATGAGCACAGCCCTTCTTTACAAAAGAAGTTACCTGGAGACATACCCAAGGGTCAGAGATAGAATAAAGGCCCTTTCAGAACTCATCAATACGCAGTTTAGCAATACAGCTACAAGGATTAAAACCAAATATTGAATCACCAAAGTACTTCCAAAGTGAGTGAGTTACAGAAAGAGCAGGTGGAAGACAAGGCTTGAGTGTCCTTGTTTCTGTCACCCACCTGGATGTCCCGGGCTCGCTCGTAAGACTGATAGGCAATTTTCTCCTCCATGCTGGCCAGCTCCTGTTTTAAATTGAGGATCTCATTCTGGTGGAGCTCAGTCAGGTCATTTAGCTGCTCTTCGAGTCTTTCACATCTAGAAATGATATACATGGCACAGTAGCTTTCATGAGAAGAGGACAGCAAAATTACACCAGTAACAATCGAGCAATGAACACCATAGACATTTTACTGAAAACTAGTGTGGCTACCTCAGACATTACAAAAGCACGCATTGCAATGTAAGGCGCTCTCACTGGAAATTAAGGAAATCCTTTCTACCAGGTAAGGTATGTTAATCCTGTTTCTATCCTGGGGAAAAACACACAGAGTGGTTAAATGACAACTGTCAAGCAATGCAAGAAATCAAGGACAGAATTAGAATAGAGTAAGTTGTTCCCCAAAGTTTTGTGTAAACCAAACAGTTCCCTTCTAATACGGTAAGCTCTTAAGCATTTTCATCTACACTCGGAACATTAACGGGCATAAAAATGACACAGACATTAAGCGTGACTGATGCCTCAGAGAACACGATGGTCCTGTCTGATCTTTACATGTGAGGTCACATGGATATCTTTGACTTATTTTTTTCTTCCTCTCTCATGAATGACTCAGCTTAACTAGCAAAGACCATCATATTACTTACAAGGAGGCCACATGAATCATTAACCTGCAGGCTTATTTTTCAGTTTGCTCCTGGTGAAATGTCTGGGAGCAGTCCCGAGAAAGGGGGCTGCCCAAAAAACTGATTTACGACAATTCTGGCACAGTTTTGTTTCTCATTGAGGGAGTTTTAAATTGAGTTCAATGATAGCTCCATTATGTTACTTTAGTACTTTCAAAACACATTAGAGATGCTTTGCATTTGTATGTAGCACTTCATTTTTGGAATTTCAAGCCCAAATTTACAAGCAACTCATGCTTCAATACCCTTTTAAAATCAGGCAAGTATTTGTGTTACTTCCAAAAGGTAACACAGAGCAAGCTAGGCCACAGCTCAAGGGCTGGGGGCAGCAAGTTGGGCACCATCCATTGCATCCTCTTCCACCACGCTTCCTGCTAGTTTCTCATCCTTGGGTCATTACGAGCGACAGCTCGTAATGGTGGTAACTAAGGTATGGGTACAGCTATTATGGCCACTGGGGTTTTCCCACTCTAATTTCCACTGACTGTCTTCTCACCGTAACAGCATGGAAAAAGCTTGCTGTGCAGCTCTTATCATGTGACCCTTGATACTAATAACGAAGAAGGAATTCTACGGAATTCAACACAGTGATAACTCCCTGTTTTAATTTCAGTTCCCCTCTGACTCCATCTGAATTTAATTTATACACACACGCATAAAATGAATATAAAATATTTATCTAGAACAAAGAATTTAATTACAAGTTCTGAAACTAAGACAAAAATCCCGCTTCCTTCCCCCCAAGATTTTTGGTGCTTCACAAGCTAAATATTCAGAATCTGTAGGCACAAGCTAGCCTTTAAAAACAGTCTTGGGTGTTTGTTTTTAATTGAAAAGTCTGAAGAGAATTTTCATTTACATTCCCAATGCAATATTGCTTTAAACTAAGAAGGAGTCAGACATAGCATGACAGTTTCCAACAATGAAACGCGTGTGGTCAACCAGAAGCAAGACAAAGAACCCCCAGCTGACGCGGCTCAGCCCAGAAAGGTGCCACAGCAGCTGCGCAACCGAGACAGGACACACAAGAGAACTGGTTTCCCAGGAACGACAAGCTGCAGACAAGGGAATAGCCATGTGAAGACTGGCTAATGAAGAAGGAGCCCAGGTAATTAATATTGCCATTTGTTCCCACACAACTTAAAAACACCCCAACTTGCCAACAACCAAGAAATCACCACTAAACCCACCCTAAGTCCCACAGGCAGGCAATATATTACTTGAAATATATTCAGTTTGTTAATATATTACAAAATTTTCCAGGGGGTTTATTACACAAAAAGAGACCTAAGCATTTCTGAAAATACCATGATTATGTCTTTCAACCTCCTCCTACATAAACGCCCTTCATAAAGCAGCTGTTGCCAGGCAGCTTAAATCCTGTTCTCTAACAAGAAACAATTGTATTTTAATAACTTCAAAACTACTTCAATCTACAGGAAACACAAGGAAACCCTGCAAATCCGTATAGTTAAGAGTTTAAGCATAACATGATTAGCAAAAGGCTTGGCTCCAATCCTCCCTGCCCTGAATGCAGGACTACCGGCTTGTTCCACATGTCATTTCCCTGCTCGACCCCAGAGATTTTGCAGTTTGCACCCAAGAATCATCTGCACTCTCAGAAACTGGCATGTTAGGCAACTGCTGGAATTGGGTTATTTAAAAAAAAAAAAAAAAAAGGTAAAAAACCTCAACCTACCCAGACTTATTTTTGAACGTACACTTCCTCCATTCATCTCATTTTCACTCCTTGTCCCATTATGTACAATTCAGAAAATGATTTTTTTTTTTCCCCCGCTGTTTCTACTGGGGTTCATGTGACTTACAGGGCCCAAAGCCAGGGTCCTCCTATTGAAGGATGCCTCACATTTAACTCAGAGATATTACAAAAATAAAAGGGATAGGACACCTGTCAATAGGGTTAAGATTATACTCACACTTCCCTCTCTAACCCATGAGTGCCAGCATCTATGCAACAGACTCTCACCTTGTCTGTGAACATAGCAGTGCCTTGAATGATCAAATCCCACTTTTATTTCAGGTACGGAAAATGCCTCATTAGAGTCCAAGAATTATTTTTTCACTAGCTAAAAGTGAAATTTCCCCTTAAAATTACTAGCCTCTAGATTAACCAGCTCCAGCACAGAAACTTTTCTTATTACAGACTACCGCCGACTGTCACAAGTATCTCGTCATCAGAGATGTTGGTAAGGAAAACACCCAGTATACTGCTGGGGTGCTCGGCTGAAGTACGGGATATGGGAACACTTCATTTAAAAAAGCCATGTCAGATTTCCACACATTTTCTGAGGCTTGCTGTTTGGGAATTGGGGAACTGATCTGAAAAAGGCTAAGAAACACAATCATGACCATCTCATTTTGTAAAGAGCTTTAAGGCATTTTAAAGTAATAGCTGCAAAATACACGGCTAATACAGCATACATAAGGGAGAGACATGACGATAAAGACATTTTATCTGCACTCAGTAAGTGCTCTGGCAAGTACACAAACTCTGACCAAACAGATGCTAAAAGGTCTTCACAGTACACTGTGAACAGAGTTTACTGCCTCTCTTCAAGCTTCTCTCAAGAGGAACCTATTTTTTTATAGCTATGTCATACAAAATCTCATCTGATCTTTATTTTTATGCTACTGAACACACTGCTTTCAATAGCCGAGTAATAGCTAAAAGCAGTATCTATTTGCAATATACTCCAAGTCTTCTATCTAGACAACAGGTGAAGGACAGAGCTGGCTCCCGAGGGAGCACGAGCTGCTCCCGGTGATCGCATCATGCTGTGCTTCCGCCTCCGAACGAAGACCACAGCTTTGCAAGGACATTTCAGTGCTTTCACAGCGGGGTGAGGATCTGCCTGACCCAACACGCCGCCTTTGCTGGGCGGACACGCTCCAGAAAGGCCTCTTCAACCATTCTAGACCTCAAAGGTTTAGCACATTTGATCTATTTTAAAATAAATCACGAGAACAGACTGAAGTCCAACAATTGGACTACAGCAAAAAGCAGATAAACGAAAGCACCAGCGCCTAGCATTCTGGCTGACGGGTTTCTCCTGACAGGAGCGTGGGACACCTAAATGCCCTTTCCAAGGATGCCGGGCTTGGGAAGAAACCCAAACCCTCGGACTGGCCACACTCCAAATATGTGAGCTCATGATTTCACCGTGTGCAAACAGGTTCCTAAAGGGACACGCAAGATGAAAATACTCAGCAGAAACTTTATTTCAGCCTCAATAGCACAGAAAGTCCCTGCTCATATCAGTAAACAACCGCCACCTTCCAACCGATGAGATAAGCAACAGGCTATTTCAGCACTCACTCCTGGTGCAGAAGAAACAATGACGGCCAAGGCGCCGCCAGAATCTTCCTTCCTCCATGACTCAGCCCCGGCGGAGTGGCGCGGCGCTCCGGGGCCAGCACACGCTGCCAGCACTTGCCGAAGTGCCGCCAGGCCAGCCCGGGCACCCTGCAGCACCAGGGCGGGAGAACTGGAGTGACTGCACCAGCAAGTCCCTGCCCCGGAGCCAGTGAGCAAACCGGCAGCTACACGGATTGATAGGCAAGATCTTGAAGTAGGGAGAGGGAGGGAGGAGATTGAGGAGGTCATGGAAAACCTGCGAGGCAAGCCATGGCTGATAAACAGAAACTGCACGAACATGCAAGGAAAAAAGATAGCAACTTGCAAAAAAGTAGAACATCTAAGAAAGAGGAAATGGACCAAGACCGGGTGAGAAAACGTCATGGCACGTGCTTTGTTCCAGCCTCCAGGTACAGAACAAATACTCAGTGTTGCCCTACGAGCAAAGGCTCCTCCAAAATACTTCTTTTTTTAAGCTCTAACTGAACTTGGTGCGTGTTTTTGAAAGCTTCCCAGAAACAGAGCAGAGTTATGAGGTATTTATAGCTTTTAAAGCCAGTTATGATTAATTTGAATCCCCAGCTTCAAACCACAACCTCCATTCCCATCTTTTCATTTTTCCTGAAGAGAGCCGAGGAACAAGAGGGGTTCCTCGTCAGAGGAACAGGTGCCAGCCCTCTCTGCCAAGGCAGCAGCATCCTCTCTGCCCTCAGACACATCACGTAACTTCCCAGTTCTGAGGGTGATGTTGGCATTTATCTTCATGATATTTTAAAATACAGAAGCTATCAAACAAGACTCTAGATTTGTACAGTAAGGTATTCATCTCGCTGTGATTAACCCATGAGCTCCCTGCAGTTACCTGCTCACCTCTGAAAGCCTGCAGAGGCAAGGGCACTTAGCGTGGTTTAACCAGTCCTCTTTAAGGGTCACACTTTTAATTAATTTGCATCAACATTCCAAATGGCAGGTATAAATTACTATCTTTTTAAGCATTTATAAGCCAAATACAGATTCTCCTGGAAGCTTTTTACCCCAGGCTGCCTTGGTTAGTGGTTAGGCTCTGGGCTCACCTCAGGGGAGCGCTCAGTAAAGGTTAACGGCACATGACAGATATGGCTTCATATTGCACTCGTATGAGGACCTACATGAACCTCGCTAAATGGTATCAGGGAATAACCCGCCAGATTAGCTGACAACATACATCAGTCCCCAAGGTCTTCTACTGCACTTTCAAGCCGCTCCTTCAGCTGTACTGTGCTTGCGTATAGTGTTCCACCACAAATGGCTGCTGCCCTATGTGTGAAACAACCACCTACGCAGCAACAGACAACAGGACCCCTCTCTGCTGGGGAGCAGAAGATCAAACTCCACATTGCTTCGCTGTGGACCAAACTCCACGTGACTTCATGACAATGAGGCTGTAGGAACCAAAGCTGCTGTGCTGGGCGCCGGTTTCAGTCAAATCGCTGATTGTTGCAAAGCGGGATGAGAAAGTGGTGTTGGTCTGCTTTGTCTATCCAAGCTTTGCAAAGCACACAGAAAGCTTGCTGTCTCTACAAGATCCTAGCAGGCTAAGCCTTTTCAAATGTTTTCCCAATGATCTGGCACCAGCATGTCTAAAAAGCTGTAGGGCAACTCCATGTCGTACTGTGCAAACCAAAGCAGCAAGTGCTTCAGAAAGCCTGTCCCCACACCCAGCAGCTCTGCTGAGCCTCACAGGTTGTGTTTCACAGCCTGGCTAAAGGGGCGAAGGCCATAAGCAACCTCATTACAAAAACCTGCTGTCCTCCATCGGAACGAGGACTTGGGCCCCTTGCATTTGTTATTTGAAGTTTAAAAAGTGCAGTTTAAGAATCCCATTGATTTGGACTGCAGTGTCCTGAACGGCTGCAAAAGGGCAGCTGGTAACTCTTCCCTCCAGAGCCTGGGACAAGCCCTTGCTCCCAGCATGTGATGGGGAGGACACCAGATGTTCTGCTGGACAGCATGGGGCAGCCAGCGGAGAGCTTTCTCCGGCCCAGCAAGGAAAGGGAAGGGGAAGCGCTCCCTCAGCACCTCTCGGTGGGTTGCTTTCCTCAGTGGGGAGGTGGGAGGAGCTGGCTGCCACACCACGCTGCCAGGCTCCCTCCCTGAAGCCACCGTCACCTCTCCTCTGTGACCTGATCAGGGACCGGCAGTACCGCAGCAACTCCTCTGCCTTTCCATTCCTTCCAGAGCGGCGAAGGCTGATGGAAACACGGGTTACCCACTTCCAGAGCCACGCAACCTCCATGACAAGCTCTACCAATATCTGACATTGCATTTAACTTCATTTAATTGAACCCTACCGCCATGGGGATGAGTGCAGAAGGGAAGGGGATATGCTAGTTTTGGCACATGGGCAAGATCATGTCTTTTTGGAGAGCCCTAAGAAAGCTGTATAATTCTTTTTCTGGTAGATACAGATCTGAGTGTCGGAGGAGGCAGGGTCAGGATCCTGTCCACATTTAGTTCCCTGTCTCTTGCCTTGACCCAAACCTTTGCAGGACTTTTGCAGGGCAAAACACTGTCTGGATAATAGTAACTGCATCAATATACTCCTGGTCTTTTGGGACACCTTTCTAAACCTCTTTGGCTTGACTTTTTGTCTTGAAAACACTATGAAACAACCTTTTTCCTCGCTATTTCCTTTCTGTACCAGAAAGGGAGATGAGCAGCAAGATAACAGTATTTACAAAATACAAAGCTAGGAGGGCGAAATCCTGAGAAGACCGCAGAATTTCCCATCTGAATCAGGCTGCTAGGAACAGCCTGCTGAGTAGTACTATCCAGGACTCTGGTGCTCTGCAACTCACAGTATTTAATTCTGAAACAAAGTACAAAAGTACATACCTGTACCGCTCCTCCTGCAGAGTCTGCATTATTAATGAGTAATCCCTCTGATAGCGAACCTTAAGGTCCTCAAATGATTCTTCCAGTCTTGCCTGTGTGTCTCGAATTTCTTGAATCTCATGCAGTACTGCATCAAACCCTGAGCTCTGCATATCCAGAGTGTTTGTTTTGGAGCTAGAAGCTCCCACAGGGCCCCCTGTTGTGCTGTTGGCTCCCACTGAGCCCGACGTGGCACTAGAGCAATCCTCCTCACTGCCATATTTTGGGCTTGACTGAAAGTTCTGAATAACACCTAGAGCCTTCCCACCTGTCCCATCTTCCTGGCCTTCTTCTAAGGAGTCTTTCAGATTAGCAATATTGTCTGCACTCCCAAACTTGTTCCTTATGAGGGAGGCGATCTCCCGGGGTTTGGAAACCACAGCTCCTGCTGCTGAATGCGTGGCTTGGGAGAAACTGGAAAGCCCACCCTTCACACTGTCCACTACTCCCTCACTGAAGCCAGTGACTTTTGCTCCAACATCTTTCAAACCCTGATGCATATCCCTGAAGACATCCTTTGGCTGCCGAGGGATCCCATTCTGTTCAATTTCTCGCAGCTTCCGATGGTAATGTTCTAGTTTCTTCTGCAGCTGCAAGATGGTCTGGGCTGACTTTTGATTCTTCTTCTCAAACACTTGCTTAATGCGGGCACTCTGCTGCTTGTCTGCATTGTTGGCCAGTTTCAGGTACTCTGCCACATTGTCATCACGGGCTGTTTGTTCGATTTTGATCTGCTCGGTCAACTTCAGTATCTTCTGTTGCAGGTGCGTGATAGCCACTTTTGTACGCTGAGGATCTGGGGTCCCGTCCACAGAGTCTGCGTTGATGCTGCCATCAGTGCTCGAGGCCACTGCACTGGAGGTCTGCGCTAAGCTGCTGACTTCCAATCGCTCGATCTAGGCAAGGAGAAAGAGAAGTGTAAGCGCTAATCACCAGCTTCACTAATATAAAACCTTTCCTTCTTTGTGCCAAGCCACTTGACAAGTGGATGTAATTCTGCAGCATAATGCACCTTTTTTCAGCTGGCCACAGTACGGTATCAATCGAGCTTCAGGTGCTTTACAGACATCTAGTAAGAGCTGAGAAGAAAGCAAAACCCCTCATACTTAAGCCAACTTAATGGCCTCAAACCACCAAAAACTCAAGCGCCAAGCAAGACGGGGCACCCAAGTTTGGCAGGCTGAGTTCTCTGAAGTTTTGGTATAAGGCCGGTAGCTCTATCAGCTGGCGAGTAAAAAGACAAGAGAGGATAACCGCGGAAGAGCAAAAGCCACACGGGTCAAGTATACAGCAAACCCAAGTTATTCCCACCGCTTCATCCGTTTGTACGAAAGCAAGCAGTAATGAAACTTAGCAGAAAACGAAAGATCTACTAAGGTCAGTGCTTGAAGCAGAAATAAAGAGCCCTTCGGCGCTCTGACATGCCCTGCCTCGCGCCGTCGGGCCTGCAGCCAGCGACGCACCCTGCGGGCAGGTGCCTCCGAGCGGGAGGAAAGCCGGCAGCGCGCTTCGAAGGGCAAACCCCGTTTTTAGCCAAAAAGAAGTTAAACGCTACTTCAGCGCCAAGGAACCACACGCAGTAACCAGA